GGACTTATAAACATGAAGATATTGATTTTACAAAATTATAAAAATCAAATAATGTCTTAAATACTTTTTTTGATAATTTAAAATTATATAAAATATCATAGAGAGGCCCATAGTGCACATCGGCCCACCAAGTGTTAAGTGGATGGGGCCCACATGTGCCACACATGGGTGGCACGCCCCACCCATTGGATTCTTTTTTGGAGTTTAAGTTATTTCATGTTTTGATAATATTATGTTATGACATGTGGTTAAATAAGACAGAGAATATTTTGATCAAATATTGAAAGTGTATATTGACTTGATATATCTTTTGAATATTTTGTGAAAGATTATGGAATGCATAATATTTTAATTATATTTAATTTATCTAGTTTTTATTGATGAGAAAATGGTTAAGAAAATGGGGATAATGGTCCATGCACCTTCCATAATGTTGATGGTTCATATATAGAATGGATGGCTCAGATCTCTCACTCCACAAGTCACATTTGATCGATGGTCTATGCTCAATATCATAAGAAGAAGCAAGTCAAGGAAAATCCTAAGAAACCCTATTCTTGTTCAAGCCTATAAAAAAGAGATTGCCTCTACTCAAAATCTCTTTACATTGTCTTTCTATCTCTCTCTCCTACATTGTGAAAGAACCTAATGGTTTAGGTTATGAAATTCTTCTTTATCCTATATCTGAAATATGGATTTATGGCTAAGGGTTTTAGGGTTTAACAAAAAGAGAATTCATCTCTTTCAAACTAGTTTGCTAAAATAATTCACCTAGGGTTTGAATTTACGATCAAAGGGGTTCATGTTCCATTGGTATGGCTCTACCGAAATTTGCTTTCTCTGTTTGAGATTGAAGTTAGATCGTTGATCCCGCTCTATTGGATGGTGGTGACTCGGTGTGGGGTGTAATAAACCCGGTTGAGGTAATCTCCGACACTCTTCCTTTTATTTCTTACAATTTTATCTTTATTCTCAAGCATAGTGCATAGTTGTTTCAATGGCATGAAGTTGTTAAGATCTTGGTCTTATGTTATGTTGATTTTATTTTGAAATTTATCTTATTATAATAAAGACCACATGTAAGTGATCTTTTGTGAAAAGAAATGGGTGAAAAAAAAAAAAATGCATTCACTGGTAAAAGATCACGTAGGTATTTCTTTCAACATTCATAGGGGAGGGAGATAACGAAAAGTGGAGGGAGAAAATATGCGTAGAGAGATAGGTGTAGAGAGAGACTTAAAAATAAAATATGTGGAGAGAAAATGCATGAGAGATTTTAAGAGAGACGAAAGATTTTTATAGCAGCTTATGTAAAAGGGAGAGATAAAAAAAAGGTGGAGAGAAAGAATGTGTGTAGAGAGAGTGTAAATAGTGATTTGAAAGTAAAAGATATACATGGATATAGAAATTTCTTAAGATTGAGAGAGAGAGACTAGATATAACGGCACAAACAATTGAAACTATTTTTAATTACGCAGATTTTGTGATTTTCATGTATTATTTACCTGAATGAAGCTTAACAAAGTCCATATTGAAGTTAAGTTGTGGTAAGTTTTTTTTTTTATTTTTATGTATTGCCTATATTTGTACTTTTTGAAGTGTTCTTCACACTTTATGAAGGTTGAGGAAAAAAAATTTTATCTTCCGTTTATCAAGGCATGTAATTATTTTAAAAGAAAAATCCTAAGCACCTACTTTAAATTAAAATATATATTATCTTATTTTACGTATGTTCTATTTGAAGTAAAACATAACAAAAAGAAAATAAATTAAAATAATTACAAATTTTTATTCTACTTCACAATTTTAGTAAGTTTTCTACAATTTTTTTTTTTTTTTGTGTTTGCTATGATACAAAATTATATTTTTTATGTAAAAAAAGGTGTACTTTCATTAGATAGTCAATGTTTTTTTAGCCAGAGTATGGGGGTGGACACGTGTCGTGAAAATACAAAGGAATTTTATAGAGATTGGACACAATCCTAAATTTAGAGAAGAGAGATAGAATAAGCGTTTATTTTATGATAATTGAATTTGAAAGAGAGAGAGAGTAAGAGTATACACAAAAGAGAGATCTTAATATTTTTTCCATATTTCCACAATATTTCTATATCTTAATTAGAGAGAGAATATTAGTGTGCTCAGGAGTGCGTTCTCAACATTGTAAGTAAATTTGACAAGGAGAGAGAGAGCATGCACAAGAGATAGATAATGAGAGATTTTAGGAGAGATTATAAATTTTCTTGGAAGCTTTTAAAGAGTAAACAAGATTTTTGGAAATCAAAGTTTCAATATAATTTACTTTCATAAAAATCATAAGCAGTTAAAAATTTATTATTATCTAAGAGGTGATTTGTGATTTATCAAATTTTTTATTAATAAATTTATTTGATCATTGAATGTTTAGTTAATATGCTAAAAGCAAATGGATACATACAACACACGTAATTCAACTAATTTATAATAATCCAAAAGTTAAGATATATTTTTTATAATCTCCCTTAATAAATTTTGTTGTGTTTCGATCAATAAGCCAAATACTAATGACTTAAGATTATATTTATATTTTGAAAAAAGCTGTATTTCCAAAGAGGTGCAAATGTATAGGATGTCCACAAAGCAAAGTCTACCTCTAAATTCAGCTAGAGGATGCGATCTACATATTGGAAATCTAATGATGATGTGAAAGTTTATCCCACTCCTAATCATGAAATTTAAAGTCTAAAAAATAGAATATAGATAGAAAAAATACATAGAATATATATAACAAATGTATAAAAACTTGAAAATATTGAAGATGGTTGAAAAGCACGATTTTAACAACTTAAAATCTTTTTTTATGAGTAAAAATATTTATTAAAATAATTTTCACGATAATATTTTCAATCAATTGGTCCTAGTGGATATTTTAACACCAATTGGCAATTAATTTATGTGAAGTACCTAATCATATGAGAAAATTCATTTACGTAAAAATATTTCTCAAATAATATTTTACTTCGAATAAAACAATCATGTTACAAATCCACCTTTAGATCATCAATTGAAGGATTTTTCTAACATCAAAATAACCTCTTTCTTATTATTTTTTTACCCTTAGCTGTAAAGTCCACATTCTATATTACAATATTGTGCCTGTGAAATCGGCCGCTTGCTTCCTCGCTCTGACCGCAATAATTTTTTGAGCCTTCCTCAATCCCAGTTACCTATGTGGGGAAGGACTACATTGAAAATTTAAAGCCTTATTTGTCTTAATTTGCAACAAGAGGACGCTGCCTGGCTATCTTATGAATCAAGTATAAATTACAAATTCAGCCCTATCAAATTCCCCTCTAAGTCCTAGGGCACAAATGTCAAAACCCGATCCTCTCTCTCGGATCTCACTTTTTAGGGTTTTTAATTGCTCGTTTCCACTGTTCTTCCCGCGTTTTCTAGGGTTTGTTGAGGTTTACTCCTCTTCGCCCTGTGTTTTCTAGGGTTTTTAAGGTTCCTCCCTCAGTCCGCTGCGTTTTCTAAGGGTCTCCTCTCTCACTCGGTGCCACTCGTAGTCCTTTTCAAGGGCTGAGGCATTTTCTAGGGTTATTTTTCGTGGGCTAGGGGGGATTTTCTAGGGCATTTGTGGAGTTTGGCCATGGCGACTGAGAGGAAGAGGAAAGTTAGCCTTTTCGATGTGGTGGGTGACCCCTCTGTGGCTGCCAAAAAGCTAAGCGTTAATGGCTCAGCTGATGTGAACAGGTGGAATGGGAGACCTTATTCCCAAAGATATTTTGAGATTCTTGAGAAGAGGAAGACCTTACCGGTTTGGCAACAAAAGCAAGAGTTTCTTGATACGCTGGAGAAGCACCAGACGCTCATATTAGTTGGAGAAACTGGCAGTGGAAAGACCACGCAGGTTAGAAAATTGATCTTAAAAGTGTATATCTTTCTGTTTTTTACATGGTTTTAGCTGTAGCAGAAGTTGATTATTATTTTTTAGACTGTATTGTTCTTTCTTCTTCTTCTACTTCTTCTTTTTCCCAGTTTTGCAGGTTTCTAGTATAGACTACTGTCTTGTTCTTTATCATGGGACTTCCTAAGGGCTATGTTGCCTTTCTCTTTTTTGTGGTTCCCGCTGCCATATTGTCTTCTATGTTGGTGTTTTTTTTTTTTGTTTGTAAGTATTTGTTGGTACATCTCTGATGTTTGCCTAAGGGGTTGGGGCGACTTTCTGTTATTTTTTTTTGAGGGATTAGTTCTCGTGATAATTTGTTGGACATATGAGAATTTGAAACCGTACCATTTTTTAGTAGGGTATCATTTGCCTATATTTGAAGGATTTTGTTGTTCATGTTGGTCAAAAGTTTATCTGTAAAATGTTGAGGTGTGTTTGTGTGGTTTCGAGAGTCGGGATTTCCTCCAGCATTCCGTTGATGGTTTGTGAGTCTTTCTAATTGTACCCTTCTGTAGCTGAGTTTATCTTTAGTTTGGGGCTTGTATTGGTGATCATCTATATTTCCACCTACTTTGTGTATGCATGTCCAATTCTTTTATTGGCTGTTACCTTCTACTGGTCAATGAGGTGAAGGCATGGAAATTGCATCGTGGGTGTTAGATCTTGTCTCATTTTCTCTTTGCATGGCCTCTGATTTAAGGATTGTATTTTCCCCATTTGTTTGTGAAACACGTTGCCTCTAGTTTTGAGCAAGGCTGGCGTTTGATTTTGGACTCATGCATTGTCAAATGCAGTGTTTAAAAAATCTTCTGGTCGACCTGGGATCGTCTGAGTAGCCTGGATTGGGCAAGGCCATTCTGGCTCCAAAAAACTCTGCAATTAACTTAATCTCTTGTTTTTTCACAATTTTTAATTGTTTATTTTTAAAAATTGTTAGGTCCGATTCAGAATTGCTTGTGTCCAACTGGGGTGCTTGTGCTTGGGTCCCAGATGAGTTGAGCCCAAGTCCTAATTTTTGGACACTGGTTGAAAGACTTGGGTTCTTGGGGACCTATCTCCAAAGTTAAAAATTGAAACCTCCCAAGCAGCATAGATCCCCAATTCTAAATTTACCATCATCGAGCAACCAATTGAGGTCATCTGCTTGGAAGTTGAAGAGCCCTTTGGGTATTTGAAGATGAAGCCTGCATATTCACACAATGTCTTATCTGCATCCCAAGTTTCGCACAATCCATCTTTTTCCAAATTACAAAATAGTTCCTCAAATTTTTTTTTGGCTTGACTTTGGAAGATAGCTGATTAGCAAATATATAAACCTGATGATTTTGTTTGAGCATTAACTTATGTGACCATTGATCCATGAGCCTCCATAAAAAACAGGCATGGCCCAGGAAACCTCAAACAAGTTATAGGAAGACATATCACACATTGTAGGGAGCGGTGGGTAGTAATGGACATACTTTGCTGTTTCCTCTCGCCCAACACATTAAATTGGCTTGTGGGGACCATCATGCACATCTTTGGATGTGGTGCATGCTAAGTAAATGTATATTATTTTGGGTAGCCATCAAATAGAAGAGGGGTAGGTTGCATCAACAGTCCAACTAACCGATAATGATGCCCACTTGCCATTTTCAGTCTCTACTTAAAACCTTTATGGTTAAATTCGTGTCTTCAATTCTCCCTTAGCAAAAGACCTCCTGCATCCCCATTTCCTGCCATTGTCCATTTGAGGTGAAGGCACCCAACTGCTTGATATCCCTAGTCCTCATCTTTCCTGGAAGTTTGTGATTAACTCCTTGACATAAAAAAGTAAGCTATCAAAATGCGGAAACATGTAAGTTATCAAAAAAAAAAAAAAAGCGGAAACATGTAATCTATTGGGGGGGGGAGGGGAGGTGGGAAAGCGCAATATGTACTCTCCTCATGTTACTGGACACTAATCCCATACCTAATTTGCTTCTTGAATCTTTATTATATCCCTTGCCAAACTCTTGCAGCATGTTATATTCTTTCCCTTCCATTCATGACCATAGTTTTTATTTATCACATTATATTCTTTGAATTTTGGACAACATTCCCTATTGGAAAAAGCCAGTGCCATTTGCCTCATAGGGCGCTGGTCATCGGTCTTGGGCTTCCTACTTGCCGACCTCCATAGTTTTCAGGCCCACCAAATGCTTGTAATGGACCATTTGATGATGGTCTCTTATGACCACCTCTTGGAAGGCGATACTGAATCAATGTATTAGAAGACGCCCACCTTGGATGCCTAGCGGTGCTGAGTGACCTCAATACCCGGCTAGGCTCAGGCGGGCTGCCCTAGATAGGTGAACTCTATGTTGGGTACCTGGCGACTTGGCAAAGGTGCTTGCTCTGCATGGTTTGCGTGTGTGTTGAGCCACACACACACCTGTACAGGAGGAGGGAGGGAGGGTTTTTTTTTTGGGGGTGGGGGGTTTTCTTTTAGAATCTAATTTCTCCCAATTATGAGATACTTGCTTGTCCCCGATGTAAACAATTATTCTTAAAGAGGAAACTCTTTCCTAGGAAAAAGAAGGCAACTCCTAACTCACACCTTTAGGAATGTACCAATCCTACTTATCGTGGGATTTTTGAAAGGTATTCACGAGGATGAAACTACCATAATACTTTCAAGATGAGTTCGAGCTTTGGAAATTTTAAGCCCGTGATAGGAGAATCCACAAATGCCAATATACACCTAGAGAATGACGTGATGTAATCAAGTATGACGAGAGACACTTTGACTTGATGCAGTCAAGTACGTCAAGTATGATGAGTGACCTCTTGACGTGATTTAGTTAAGTACTTCAAGTATGATGAGAGAGCCCTGCCAATGAACATTACAAGCTTGATAAGAGCTTGAGAATGATGGTTGATACTTGAGCAACAAGTATTTGGGCAATATTCACTAATAAATGGGCATTCCTAATGACGGTGGATGGGACTTTGTTAGGAAAGTTCCATCCTCATGGTTGTCCTTAGGGGATCCTATAATTGTTGGGGTTGGTATATTCTTAAGGGATAAGTCAGAACATAAATTGCCTTCTTAATGTTAATAAGTCCTTAGTGTTTTTTTGTACTACAAAGTTAAACGTAATAATACAGTTAGTCTCTCGCTAGAAAAAAAACGTTAATACGTCCATTAGGGAAGAGTTTCCCCTTTTTTTAATTTTTTTTTGCTTTGTGGAAGAAGTATCCATATTTGGGAAAAACTAGGATTTTGTCAGATAAAGAGAGAACGGTGAAGGGGATGATACATACATTTCGAGGTGGCTTAGGCTTTTAGTCTTTTATTGAGCTTAGAGAGGTAGATTTTGGCTTTTGAATTTTTCTTTGTTTTTTGAAAGTTAACCACGAATTTCATTGCCTCAAAGGGAAATACAAGGAAGAGTTATAGGAAAGAAGATGATACATATATTTCAAGGTGGCTTAAGCTTTTACTGAGCTTAGAGAGGTAGATTTTGGCTTTTGAATTTTTCCTTTTTTGAAAGTTAACCACAAATTTCATTGCCTCAAAGGGAAATACAAGTAAGAGTTATAGGAAAGAAGAGATCATCAACGATGATTGGTGTGCTCCCCCTTTAGTTAATACATCAGCATCAGTGTTACCCTCTCTGCAACAATGCACAAGATCAAATGAAGAAAGAAGCAAAAGAAAATAAATTTCATCGAACAAACCCCTAAGTCTCCAGGGCGGTTTCAACTCTCCTCTTGCCCATCCAATAACATTTGGAGGAATCTCCTTCAATTGTCTTATGGCGATCCAACTCCATTAGATTTTTTAGACCTTCCAGAAGTCATTTCGATTCCCAGCCTCATTAACCATTGTATTCCCACACGTTCCTGTGAAGGTCTTTAAAATACGGCCATTGTCCTCCAAAATCAAGAACCAAAACCAGGTTTTGGGTTCCCAAAAGAACTTTCATCAAAATTAAGTTTTAGACCATTCAGAGGAGGCGGTTTCCAAATAGTTCGAATTCTAGTGAATTGTTGACGTAAGTTTGCCACCTCCAATGGGTTCTGAAAAACCCGAGTTTTGGGTATAACACTGCAATCCCTGTGCACCGAGAAAAAATCTGATTTTGGGTTTTGAAATTTTAAGGTTTGGATTTAATATTTTTTGCCCTATTCCTTGGGTGTAGAGAGAGAGAGAGAGAGAGACTAGTTCATTTTTTTGTCTTTTGTAATTCCTCTAGATTTAGAGAGATATTGCAATTCGTGTTAATCTTTTCTCTGGAGTTTTAGAGAGAGAAAAAGCACTATGAGGGTAAGAAAAGTCGTGAGAGAGAGAGACTCAAGCTAGAACTTAATCGGTTTGGGAAAAATATTGTGAATATTTTGCGTAGTGGATTATTGGATTTGTCCCATGGGGTTTCCTCTTGTAGAAAGGGTTTGTTCATGTAAAAATTGGTGTGCCTCTGCCTTGACCTTTTTCTTTGTTCATTTTTCTTCCATTGTTGGATGATTTGTATTTGCTTGTTACTTTATCTCTATTTTGCTTTTGAGTTTCATTAGTGTACATAGAAGGGAAGCAGTATTGCTGACCAACTGTGTTGTATGTGCTCGTGAGAGATAGACATTATGTTTTGTCAGCTTCGTAGCTTGATTCTCTTCTGTCAAAATGAAGTCTATTTTTTGTATATATTGACAAAACATTGTTTTAATTTGGCAGATTCCTCAGTTTGTTGTTGAGGCTGGTTATACCAGCAACCGCAAGCAGATTGCTTGTACCCAGCCTCGTAGAGTGGCTGCAATGTCTGTCTCACGTCGTGTTGCAGAGGAGATGGATGTTACAATTGGGGAAGAAGTTGGTTACAGCATCCGTTTTGAAGACTGCACTGGTCCAAAAACAATTCTCAAGTAAGTATCTTTAATCATCATTGTTTTCTTCAATCATCTCAGTAGGGGTCTTAGGTTGTATATTGTGGTCTTATTAACTAATTTTCACCTCTTATGCTTCTTCACCTACTAATGTTTCTTTCTTTATTATTATTATTAAAATATAACATGTTTTGATTATATATTAAAAACTAAAATAATTAGAGGTGCGATCACTTTGGATAAGTATATTATGAGTCCAATAATTAGAAAAAAGAAACAAGATTTATGGGTTTTTTAGATCCTGCTTTTTAGTCCTGCCACATTTGGTGGCTTTATGCTTTCTAATTGCAATGTATTACAGGTACTTGACCGATGGTATGCTTCTTAGAGAAGCAATGACAGATCCACTGCTGGAGCGTTACCGAGTGATCATATTGGATGAGGCCCATGAGCGAACTGTAGCAACTGATGTTCTTTTTGGGCTTCTTAAGGAGGTCCTAAAGAATAGAGCGGACCTAAAGCTTGTTGTTATGAGTGCAACATTAGAGGCTGAAAAATTTCAGGGTTATTTTTATGGAGCCCCGCTTATGAAAGTACCTGGTAGGCTTCATCCTGTTGAAATCTTTTACACACAGGATCCAGAGAGAGATTATCTAGAAGCAGCCATTAGAACGGTTGTGCAAATACACACATGTGAACCCCATGGGGACATTTTGGTCTTTTTAACTGGAGAGGAGGAGATAGAAGATGCTTGTAGGAAAATTACAAAGGAGATAAACAACATGGGTGATCAAGTAGGGCCTGTGAAAGTTGTTCCACTTTATTCTACATTGCCTCCATCAATGCAGCAGAAGATATTCGAGCCTGCTCCACCCCCATCGAAAGAAGATGGCCCTCCCGGTAGAAAGATTGTAGTTTCAACCAACATTGCTGAAACTTCTTTAACCATTGATGGTATCGTTTATGTTATTGACCCTGGTTTTGCAAAACAAAAGGTTTATAATCCGAGGGTTAGAGTTGAATCTTTGCTGGTATCGCCAATTTCCAAAGCAAGTGCACACCAGAGATCTGGCCGTGCAGGGAGAACCCAACCTGGGAAATGCTTTAGACTTTACACTGAGAAAAGTTTTAGTGATGACCTTCAACCACAAACATATCCTGAGATCTTGAGGTCAAATCTGGCAAATGTTGTTCTCACCCTGAAAAAGCTTGGAATTGATGACTTGGTTCACTTTGATTTTATGGATCCACCTGCTCCTGAAACCCTTATGCGAGCATTAGAGGTTTTGAACTACTTGGGTGCTCTGGATGATGATGGAAACCTGACCAAGTTAGGAGAAATTATGAGTGAATTTCCTCTGGATCCTCAGATGTCGAAGATGCTTGTTGTTAGTCAAGAATTCAATTGTTCTAATGAGATCCTCTCAATTTCCGCTATGCTTTCAGGTATGTGCAGTAATTCTACCTTACAATTGTTCTATGTAGGAAATGTATACTACACAGTATGTATGGTATACTATACACAAAGGATTATCGATGACCTGTGCTTTATGATTGATGGGGGAGGTGAGCCGTTCTGCTACTTGAAGTCTGCCTCTCAGTTGGAGGAATGCTGGCTCATCCCCACCATCTGTCATTAAGGACAAATGGTTGGTTGCCTTTTGCCTTTTGTGTAGTTTGTACATTCTGTATACATGCACGGTACTCTTTTGAGAGCCATTGACAGTTTATATAGTTTACAAGGTCCTTAATAAACCATATCTTATCTTTCTTTTCCTCGAGGTGAAGATACTACCTTCATTTGCTTGCAAAGATGAAGGGAAACTCACTACAATTGAATGGACTGTAAATAAAATGGACAGTGATTTAGAGAGAGTGGGACCTACTTTTTGTCATGTTCTTTTCTGGTTGGGTCCGCTCTTTCTCCATCACCATTCATTGTTTTATTGGACTCTGATGATCCTGTTGGACTATGAACTTCTCTAATACAATAGTTTGAGTACCATCCCAAAGAAAGGTACCATCTGCATTTATAGGTGTCCAGTCGCAATTATGTTCATGTCGATTTGTGTCTTTTGCATTTTCTGCATGTCTTTTGTTGCTTCTTGTGTGCGCACTTGTTGGGTCCGGTCATGCTTGAAAGCATAAAATGCATGTCAAGCTGTTTGAGATGTCATGCATGGAAAGATGCGTGGTACATGCATCATGTGCCTCACGTCGCACATGTCCATGCATCATTCTAGATGTTACCGTTTAGGCTGTCATCAGCAGCATGCTCTGTGCCAACGTGTATGTGGCACATGCCATAGAATATTTAAGTGTAGTGCTGATGCAGATAGTTGCAGTTCTCAGTATAACTCTCATGAAGCAAATGGTGTCGTCTCGCCTCTATGCCTCTGCTGACCTTGAGTGGGCCTCATCTGTGATATCAAATTTCTCTTTCTTTAGTACCCAATTGCTTTCTCCGGCCTAGGGAGGCTCAGAAAGCTGCAGATGAAGCGAAAGCTCGATTTGGACACATCGATGGGGATCACCTTACGCTCTTGAATGTCTACCACGCTTACAAGCAGAATAGTATGTATTTCTGTCATTCTAAGAGCTTGGGTTTTGTTTCTCAAGAATCTCTAAAAATCAACTCTGTTTTTTTGTAGTTTAGTTTGCTAAACCTTTTTGTCGTCCTATCTGTTGTCGACTGTAGATGAAGACCCCACTTGGTGCTATGAGAACTTCATTAACCAGAGGGCTATGAAAGCTGCTGACAATGTGAGACAACAGCTGGTGCGCATCATGGCGAGATTCAACCTCAAACTATGCAGTACTGACTTCAACAGCCGTGACTATTACCCCAACATAAGGAAAGCCATGCTTACAGGCTACTTTATGCAGGTAGCTCACCTTGAGCGAACAGGCCACTACTTGACAGTGAAAGATAACCAGGTTTGGCTTCATACAAAATCTTGTTTTTGACTTTTTTTGAATTTGAGCTTGCCTTTAACACAAACCAAGTGATTTTTTTATTTGAAAATATATTATATACCATTATACTTTCACAGAAGTCCAATGAGGTACAGTCCATTGAAATAATGGATGGTGGTATATTGCATCAATGAGGTCCAAGCAGTCCTGTTCTGGTGGGTCTCGCACTCTCCCTCATCATCCATCATTTCATTGGATGGTGATGAAGTCAAAAAACTCAATTATGTTCTTTTGCATCTTCCATATGAATTGACTGTTTTCCATAGTTCGTTTGAGTCCTAGAGCGTACTTTCTCCTTATTTGGTTTGCATCTCCTTGTATGTGTTCTGATCACTACGCATTGGAGTAGATAATTGCATGCTGTGTTTTATTTATATGAAGTAGATACTTCTTCTTTGGTTGCATCTGAACTCTGAAGCTATGTATTGTTTGTTTGCATTTTAAGGTTGTTCACCTGCATCCTTCCAATTGTCTTGATCACAAGCCGGAATGGGTCATATACAATGAGTACGTCTTGACAAGTAGAAATTTCATACGTACGGTTACTGATGTGCGGGGCGAGTGGTAAGTCCATCTTCACTTATTATGTATATAGTTTACATGTCTGTGCATCTACACGTGCATGTCTGCGTACAACATTGTTTGTTAACAATCCTGTCTTTTTGTATGCTTACTTTCTTCTATCATTGTTAGTGCACACTAGACTGGTGCTTGGTGTACATGTCCAAATGCTTACAAATAGTATGTATTAATGGTATTGCTACCCTACATATAAAAGCTATTGTCCACTGGGTCATCCATTTCTCCAGTGATGGATGGTGGTGGAGAGACTGTGGATCTTGCTTTTCCTCCATTAACATTCATCACGGTGGACTGATGAATTTAATGGTATGGTTGTCGATATTTTATTTTTTTTTTGTTTTAAATTTTCAAAAGGCATGGTATAGTTCAATGGTTTGAGTGCCTGTGATTATATTATTACTTTCCCCTTTACAAAGAGAGTGTATATAACTTTTTGGATTTGCATGGTTATGCAGCTTGCAAGTTAGTTCGCTTAGTTTGTATGACATGTGCTCTTACACTTTTGCCTGATCACCCCGTATTTGTGAAGTGCAATTATCTGTCATACATATGCTTAAAAGAGATTCTATTGTACCTGGTTCATATTGGCCTTGCCTACACATTTATTTTCATGGTCTTGTTTTTATGAAAGTTTTTCCTCTTGATAGGATAATTGAACTCGATATCTATCAATCATAAAAATAATAGGAAAAAGGTAATGTTTGAAAAATAAAGCATACAATGAGCGCCACACAGTTTTAGAAGTCTTCCTCATCCATCCAAGCTATCAGATGTTAACAAGGACAGCAGGGCTATGTTTTTACTCCACTCAAAGTTCTTCAACTTAGAGGGTGTTCGTCCTTTTCCCTTTAAAAAATGGGGTCCTACACAGTGAGCACATTTTTAACACCCTATTTCCTTCAAATGAAATAGGCAGTGCATTAAACATCCTTTTCCTTCAAATGAAATTTGGGAGGCAATGTTTAAACTAGTTGTGACTTTTGAGAGAGAGAGAGAGAGATGTGGGTTCAGTGGAGGTTGTGAGAGTGGAAGGATACACGGGAGATGAAGAAAGAGGGGCAGTTTTTCTAGGATTTGGATGATGGGGTCAAAAAAAAAAAAGGATAAATATTTATAGGGTGCTACACGTCGTCTTTTAACTTGGAGGGAGGGGTCCTTGGGCTTTTCAAAGACCCAAGGGTTATTTATGATTGTAATTACTGGAAGGGAGTATATGAAGTTTTCCCTTATTTATATATAGTATGCTTGTATGTGTTTTCTTTTGATAATTCAAAATGTGAAAAGCAAAATGAATTGTGGATTACTGGAGAGTGCTTAAACAATGACTTGTCTCCGACAGTTGGCATATAAATGAAATAGCCAATGCACTCGAGTTTTTCAGAGTGTCTGTATGTGTGCTTGCTGTTTTTATCACATGAATGGTAATTAGCAGGGTGGTTAGATGGGCGTTTTGAAGTTGGTGAGAAACAAAGTTCAAATGCTACTGTACATAATCGATTTTCTTTTTCTTTTTATTGGGCCTTTCTTCAAATTTGAAAACTCAGGTTAGATTTTCTGAGTTTACTAAATGACCCAGTGAGTTTTCTCAATTTTGGCAGTAAACCACTAGTGCTAGTTTTCGTATACTGCTTACATGTCCGCCACACATTTAGACATTCATTGAATAATTCATTGCCAACTCAGTTTTATCAGGACCATTCCAGTTCAAGTAATATCATTTTGATGTATCTTGTTTGCAGGTTGATTGATATTGCGCCGCACTACTACGACCTTTCTAACTTCCCCAATTGTGAGGCAAAGCGTGTTCTTGAGAGACTCTACCAGAAGCGGGAAAGGGATAGGGGAGAGAGCAAAGGCAGAAAATGAGATTTCCCAGGACTCTCCTGCGTTGTGGTCTTTAAAAACATGCAATCCATTTTGTGAAAAAAATATATTTATGTCGTGAAATAGTTGTCAAAGCTTCTAATGGATCTGAAAGAGAAGACCACTGGGAAAGTTTTTATTCTTTCGAGTGGTGGTTTTGATCCTTTAAAGTTTGTGTAACACTTCTTTTTTATACTTTGCTTATACAATACATTTTTTTCATTGGTGGAATTTTGAATTTTTATGGTTCAATTTCCTCAAGAATCTTTACATTACCGAAAGTGATTCACTTGTTTCACTCGAGCGTAATTTACTAGTCATTTGCTTCTGCAGCTTCTTCGAGTTTTAGAACCCGATGATCTGGATCAGATTTAGTGGTCTGTCTGGATCGGATTTGGTGGGTGGACGATCTGGCCCTACCCCTTTGGATTCGCTCGATACTACAATCTTATCAACTATTATTATTAAACTTTTGGGAAAATTATATAAATATCTTTTATGTTTTGCGTTATTATGGGTGTATCAAATAGTTTCTGTTATTACATATTTGGTTTTTATTTTTTAGAATCTAAATTTTTTAAAAGGATGATTTTATCTATTTTTTGGATGTTGAATAACTCAGTTGGAGGGTTTTTTGGATGCTCAACATCCAAAAATAAGTTGAAAATTTAACGTTTACATTTTTATTTTCGGGTGTAGAACATTCTAAAATATGATTTTGAATTTCCAGAAAGTTTTTAGAATTTTGCAGTCATTTTTAGATGATGAATATTTGAAAATATGATTTTCGGATGTGCAACATTCGAAATTATTTGTGGATATTCAATATCCGAAAATATCATATTTTCTGATGTTAAACATTCGAAAATGTGATATTTTCGGACGTCCAACATCTGAAATTATTTTTCACAAGGAATATAATTTATTGACATAACTTTTTAATTTAGATGTTTAACACTCGAAAATAGGAATGTAAACTAAAACTTTCGACTTATTTTTCGATGTTGAACATCCGAAAAGCATTTAAATTCGATTGTCCAACATCTGGAAAAAGGTAAAGTCGTATTTTTTAAAAAATTGTGTTATAAAAGGTAAATGATTGACATACATGTAGTAACGGAAATTATTTTGATAAATCCGTAATAACGAAAAGTATGTAAAGGATAACATATATGTATGTAATTTTTTCTAAATTCTTTTACCTATTTCTTAGATGGATTGGCAGTCCACGGGAATCGTTCCTTATCTTTTTTGGTCACTTTAGTGGTCTATTTAAAAATTGGTGACTGGATCGGGAATCGTTGACCGTCTTGGATTCGGTAAAAAGTCGGGATTTGATTTAGAATAGTAGACAGCCGATTTTTTTGCGGAATCGCTGATTTTGATGATTTGTATTGAGTCTGACTGATTTTTCACTGAGTCAAGTAAAAAAAAAGAATGGACATTTTTTTTTAAAATTATTTTTAAAAAATAGGACGATTCCCTTAATTTGACAGGGGTATGCGTGTGATCAATTTCACTTACCAAACGATTTTTTAAACACTGAGTGGTCCTACAATCGTTTGGCACTTCATATTTGTGCCATCTTCTTAAATCATTCCCTGTTTCAACAATTTTTTGGTAGATGATTATTCATTGATGCGTTTTAAATTTTATTAATAAGGGAGAGTCTTCTGTTTGACAGTTTAATGCATCCCTTGCAATTTGTGTGTGGCCCTCTATCCAAAATCTCTCTCTCTTTCTCTTAGATCAAGAGGTGGGAACTAGCCCAATCCCCCCCAATCACCTGTGGACTCTCTCCCTTTGGAAATGGCTGGAAAGTGTAGAATTGGCCTGAAAGGAGTGGAGAAGAAATCAGTGGCTTTGCACAGGCTTTTACCATTCAAAAAGAGCACGAGTGATTGGATAATTGAGGTAATTGCTGAATACAGAGTTTTAACCTAGAGCCATCCTTTCTCTTAGCCATATTTCTAGGTTTTTAGATGTTTTCGTGTTTTTTTTTTTTGGCGATATTCTAGTTTTTGTTTGGGCAATAAAGAAAGAAATTAAAGTGTTAAGCTAGTAAACATTATCATCGTCGTCAAAGTCTTTTACCAACCAATGATAATTAAATATGAATTGGTTTTTTTCTAAACCTGTTTCAGTCTGGCCATTTTCCATTGTAAATGGCCCAATCAAAATTTCAGATGGCACGTATACCTTATTTTAGTATCGGATCTCAATTTGAGGTCAAAATGGGTAGTGTTCACACAGATGAAGCCCTAGACTATGCCTTGAAAGGCTTTCCTCTCTAATCAGAGGCAAGGCAGTTGGATAGCAACTTCATATTGAAGTAGGGGAGATATCTTTGAGTTTAGGGGAGATTAGGTCGTTTGGAATGTGAATTTTCCCTTTAACAGGATAACCGATGGGTTATATTCTCAGCTAAGTTCTTTGTTGGAAGCCTTGAATAAAGTATATATCCCTCAGAGGTCGGAATACGAGATTGTTGGGAGGTTGAGAGTGAAGGACTTTTCTCAGTCAAATCAGTTTACCAGTTGCTTTTTCATGATCGATGGAGATGGGCTCTGCCTCTCAAATTTGGAAGTAGCTAATTCTATACAAAATCCAAGCCTTCGTGTGGTTGGATGCTCAAGACAAGATTCTTACTATTGATAATTTGGTCAAGAGGGAGAAACTTCTTCCAAACAATTGTCCTATGTGCAAGGAAGATGGAGACTCTGGGACCCATTCACTCTTACATTGCTGGTTTGCCACTAGGATTTGGTGTTGGTTTTTTTTCAGAGTTAGGGATTAGGATGGTTTTGCCTCAAGATGTCTCGGGAATTATCACTAACCTTGCTCTTCCACACTTACCCAAGACAGGCAAAGTAAAATGGAAATTGCACAAGCAATGGCGATGTGAGAAGTATGGAAAGAGAAAAATAGGGGACCCTTTGATGGAGATTGTCTATCTTTTGATAGGGTAGTCGACAAGATTCAACACTATGGTGCTGGTTGTTAATGACAAAAGAGGGATAGTTCTGAGGTGGATGTGAGGCTTAATCTTCAAATTCCTTTCCATATGGGCATTGTCAAGAGCATGTCTAAATGTATTTGAGTTCTGCCATTATAGAGTGTATACAAACTAAACTTTGATGAGAGTTCCTTAGTAAATCCCAGTATGGCTACTATTGGAGAGGTTGTCAGGAATTGGAATGGGGATGACATTTTTACTTATGCTGGACCTTTAGATGTGGATACTGCAAATTACACTGAAATTATAGCACTTTTTCATGGATTGAAACTCTTTATTACTAGGAATTTGGGTACTTGTTGTGTGGTTGAGGGAGACTTTTTGAATGCCATTAGGTGGTGCAATAAAGAGTCGAAGGTGCACTGGGAACTCAAGTCGGTGTGGTTGCAGATCTTAGATATGGCAGAACCACTGACTCTTCCCTTTCTTCATGTGTATAAGGAGGCAAATGCCTTGGCTTATACTCTTGCAAAACTCTTTCCTTTCTTCATGTGTATAAGGAGGCAAATGCCTTGGCTTATACTCTTGCAAAGGGTGGGGTATCTTTGCCATTGCTTCTTGTGTCTAATTCCAATGTAATTCCATTTATGTAATTTGCTTATCAATAAAATTAGATACTATTGGTATAAAAAAAAAAACTATGTTTTTTTAAATAAACCTATTAAATGAAAGGATGAGATATTGCATTGATTAGGTTAGCGGTGTTTTCTTTTTTGTTGCGTTTTCTCTTATTTGAGTACAAAGTGATGGTGAATTCGAATTGACCTAGAGGAGACTGCATATGGATTTGGTGTGTGAACAGCTTTCTTGCTCTAGAGCACCACCCGCAACGTTTTCTCTTGTTTTTGCTTCTCTTACTCTCAAATATAAATAACTCACTGTAGTGATTGGTGGCAATGGCTGGCCTGGCCTAGTAGGTATTGCCCTAAAAAAAAAAAGGGTCTGGGCTACAAAATGTGGCTTGAGTGGGGCCGTGCCTAGGCTGGGGCCAAAAACAGGATTAGCCGAGCTTGACTCTTACTTCTTTATCTTTATTTATTTATTTATTTCTTTCTTTCTTTCTTTCAAGTTTTGCTTAGACTGGCTTGGCCCAGCATGCCGTATGGTAAAGGACTTGGGGCACAAAATATAACACGAGGATCGGGCTTGGGTCAGGGCCAAGACAGGGCTAGCAAGGCTCTTATTTCTTCATCCTCTTTTTTATATATATGTTTCACTTAGCTCGGTTTGAACATGGACAGGGCTGGCCCGGCCCGATACCGTCAGTGTTCGGTGTTCTACGTCCTCTTCTTTTTGTAGAACATTAATCACGATGAGTTATTTGAACTCGGGTATTGGGACTTCCTGTTCGTAGTTGACCTATTTTGAAATGGGGTTTGTATAAGGTGTCAACCCCAAACAATCACATCTCCAATCTTTGCACAAAGGTGCAACTTTGTTGTGGAAATTTCTTATGATAATATGAAAGTCTGTTTGCATTTTTAATTATGAAATTTAAAGCTTGAAGAATGGTGCGAATCAAGCGTACGTATAAACACTTGAAATTGTTGAAAATAAATGATCTAGATAAAACATTACATGTCGTGCTATTTTTAAAGCTTGAAATCTTTTTTAATTCATATCCAAACATCTTGTGGAAAAAAATCAGGGATTTTCTAACACAAAAAACTTTCACCAATGGGTTTTTGAAATGCACCTTAATTTTATATTGTGAGGTTTATGCCTTGTATAAACTTTTTCTTTTTGAAATTTGCATTGGAATCTATACCGTCCTTTTTAATGATAGATCGCAATGATGCACTATAACATATGCATTCCTTGAAGCACCAAAACTACATGTGTTAGTTGTTTAAAATAAATTATTGTTTTACATGGCTTGTAATGGTTTTGAACGCTTGGTTCAACACGCACGCGCAGGTGGAAGGGAGAGGGCATTGGAAATTAATTTCTCTCTAAATTATATAAAAATGTGTTTTTTTTTAAAAGAAAAAAGTTTATATAGGTTTTAACCTTATATTGTAGAATTAAACTGAACATTGAAATTAATTGGAAATGGCTGTTTTGATGTTGGAAAATCTTTTAATTATCTCAAGGAAAAAAAAAATCGAGTTAACAAACAATGCATCCTGCAACACATAATTTGGACTATCTATTTTCAAGATTTTCATGCATTTATATATCTACTTGGTTTAAACTATTTTTGGAGTTTAAAATTTTACAATTAGTGATGAAAATATATTCTCAAGCCATCCTATGTGTTATTAACACCAAAATTATGTGTCACCAGAAAAATTGGAGGTGTGCTTTTAATTGTTTTAGGATGCAACCTTATGTAAACCACACCCTTTTAGGAAACATATTTTTCTATTTTTTATCATCACATAAAAACACATTATATACCTTAAAAAAACTGAGACTTAAAGCCAATAATATAGAGGAAACGTCATTTATGAGTAAGCAGGTGCAAGAGCCCACTGACTCAACGAACGTCTATCTCTAAGATTGTAAACAACTCGCATGACTAAAATGAATTTAGACGCCTGCCAACTCACTAACGTCCATCTCTAAGATGGACGTTGTAAAAAACTCACATGGCTAACATAAATTTACACGGTGTAGAAATTTTCTATATACAAAAAACACATTTTAAATATGGGAAAAGTTTCTATAGAACTGTGGCTCTAAACAATCAAATTTAAGCTACCTCAAAAGTTTCACTATAAGAGATTGTTTTGATGCCCAAATATGTTCAAATTGATCATCTCACTATCAAGATGCATATACATGAGAAAAAAAATGGATTTTAAGTTTTGGAAATAGTGTATTTTGTAACCCATTTTTTGAATCGTCAATTTTCAAGTTTTCATAGATCAATCGGTCTATACTTTTTTTGAAGCTTTAAACTTTATAAGTAAATATAAAATATATTTTAAGGCTATCACAAAGATTTCCAATATTCAAACCACATTTCTCGATACTATTTGAAGGTAGGCTCTAATTTGATTATTTAGAGCCTCAGCTCTATACAAACTGCACCCTTTAAATATTGATTTTTTTTTTTTTCGTTTTTTATGATTATCTTAACCTAGATCATGAATCACTAAAAATTTAGATTTAAAATCCATTTTTAAATGAGTTGGCTGACTCTTAGAAACCCCTTCTTAAAATTGTTTCATGTGGGCTGGACCGCATTTCTACAATATGCGGTCCAGAAGTATAAAGCATGCATCTTTAAGATGGATGCAAATAGGTGGTCCATCTGAAAACAAGTATAACTAACGGTCCAAATATTTTTTTAATATAATTTATTATTTATAGTTTTCAAATTATTATTATTATTATTATTATTATTATTATTATTATATTCATATTCATATTCATATTCATGATCTCAATGTTAAAGGTTATATATTATCTAAAAATTAGGATCAAATTATATTTAAAAAATATATTTATTGACAAGCTCGTATTTCTACAATATGCGGGGTGGTCGCATAGAAACCGTGTCCTTTTTTGATAATGAATTAAAATAAAATATTTGATACAACCCTATCAAAATAAGTAAGGCACACCACAAAACTCACGGAAATTGCAGTTCTAGCATCTCAAAAATTTCTAGTCAGTCATCTCGGCCTTAATTAGTATAGATGTGGAAAAAAGGAAAAAAAAGAAGATTTCAAGCCCTAAATAATATATATTATATCGTCTATTTCATCCTAAAAGTAAGAGTTCACGAATTTGCATGATCTCTACCATTTTTTTAGCTTCAAATTTAATAATATATGTTAAAAATTAATTTTAAAGCCGTCATAGAAACTTCAATACCCTACATTCTTTCCGAACAAAAACTCAAGGTGAGGATATACTTCGTTTTCATAATTAGACCTTATAGAAACTGCATCTTAGAATAAAAGTTTTCTATAATAATTTCCCTTGAAATATTTTATTGGTTTCCAATTTTTGTGTTTACGAAAACACTGCATGTGGCCAAGAAAATGCGGACTTGGCAATAAATTATATTTTTAAATATAATTTGATTTTAATTTTAAAAGAATATATAATCTTTAACATGGAGATCACCAATATGAAGTTTTGTTTTTTGAAAACTAAAAATAATAATTATATTAAAAAAACATTTGAACTTACGGTTACAATTGTTTTTAGATGGACTACCTATTTACATCCATCTTTAAGTTGGATGTTTTATACCTCTGAACCGCATATTGTATAAATGCGGTCCAGCCCGCATGAAACAGTCGTTCGTTTCTTAATACATACGAGATACGAGATACCACTACGAGGGAGGAATCGCCCGTACAGTTAAGGCTATTTCCGTAATTTTGGTAAAACAACATGACCCTCGTGGTCGATATATTAATGTAGATCGGGGCCTCGCAAACCTTATTATTATACTAGCCGGGGTTTAGGGTTTCATCTCTCACTCGTGTTTTTAGGGTTTCATTTCTCTGCTCGCTGGTTCGATCTCATCTTGCAGAGGAATTCGAATTTCAGGTATGATTCCAGCAATCTCATGGCTATTTTTTCAGATTTCAAAGGTTATTTTCGTTTCTTTTCTTGTTTACTTTTCTTTTGGGTGGGACTGATATTTTGGTCCTTGGGTACTGTTGTTTGGTCCCATGTCTCAAAGCATTTCTCATGGTGGTGTTTCTATCTGAATTCATCTCAAGATTCATTTATTTTATCCTTTTGTGCTCATCGCCTACTATTTCTCGCAATTCGCTTGGTTTGTGGGGATGGTTTGTGGAGAGAGAGAGAGAGAGAGAGAGAGAGAGAGAGAGAGAGAGAGAGAGAGAGAGAGAGAGAGAGAGAGAGAGAGAGAGAGAGAGTAGAGAGAGAGAGTAGAGAGAGACGGTACGAGTACGACGTAGAGACGTACGTACGTAACGTAACGTAGTAACGTACGT